AAAACAATTATGAATGTGTTTAAAATGCAAATTTGATTCTGATAGCATCAATTTCTGAGTTTTTTCCATACTTGTACACGAATTGAAGCATTTAAGGAATACCCGTATTTTTCGTTTTGTTTCGGGAATTGAAATGGACATCCATAAGATATCCATGGAAGGATTCGAAATGGATATCCTTCAGTAGATATCTTATGGATATCCATAAGATATTCACAACAATTATGAATGCATGGGGATTTCGATAATGGTAAGAGATAAGAGGGTTGGTTAAATGGGGACAAAGTAGCGTATTTCAGAGGTTGATATATGGATGAAAAAAATCTGACCTAGCTTCTTCAGTTCTGGAGTTATACAGGAAAAATCAAAAATCTCGAAATTCTTCTTTTGCCTATATCTTTTTATTTTACGAAGATTTTTTTAAAATTTTGCCACTTTGTCATAGCAACTTTTTGTACCCTTTCCAAATATCTGAATAAAAATTATATACAGGGTATCGTATGAATTGGGCCACCCTCAACTTTCGATTTTCAAATACGGACCTGTATTTTTTATTGCATTTTTTTGAATGCCAAGAGTCATGTTTCATATTGACGCTACTTTGCCCCCATTTAACCAACCCTCTATCTCTTACAGTTATCGAAATCCCCATGCATAGACTCGAATTTGAATAGCCCGGTATATAAATTAACAATTGAACATAAAGAAAAGAAGAAAGAAAATATATTTTTTACTTATTCATAATAGATTCCAAAACTGAGCTTGGATACATTATGTATATCCTTGAAGGATATCTTATGGATGTCCAGGTTGGTACCCTCCGAACATCCATTGGACGTCCATAGTATATCCTTTGAATATAAACTGGACGTCCATAGTACATCCAGATTATCCATAATGGATGTCCGATGGATATCCACTGGATGTCCATGTGTTATCTGGGATTATTTATATCCAAAAATAAAACAGTCCAGTAAATTTTTCGATCGAATTATGTCGTCAATCATTATTTATGTATAAAAGGATCATTATGAACATGGTTTGAGTTAAAAGTTCTACTAAGAGGTGTACACGCCCATTCGACCGAGAGCCAATTTCCTGTGTTTTCGTGCGGGGCAGGTAGGTTTTTCTGGTAAAGAAAAAATTTTCAAGAAAGTATATATTATAGTAAGTTCCTTTATTTGGCAATTATTTTTCACAATAAATCTCTGAAGAAAAATAGAAAACTGTTATTCATTCAAAAGTTTGTCCTTTATAAGTTCTATTACTTCGGGATGCGTAAGGGCATTGAGAAGTTTCGAATTGATACTGGTACTAGCTGACAAAGTACTAGTATTTTCCCCATCGATATTACTACCAGCAAATTTATCATTTTGCTGGTGCATGAATAAATAAAATTCCTGTTTCGGTAAAGTAGGAATCAATTCGAATTCGTATGGAGTTCCATCTTCCTTAGACAAAAGTAGATTTTCACCAGAATTCACATGAATACTTTCCGTTCTCTGTCTTTTATGAGTACTTTTGGAAGTTCTGTTTTGACATACAGTGAATGTTTGTTTTACTATGTCTAAGATAGATCGAGAACTGTTTGACAAAATCACCTAAAATAATACAAATTAACTAAAAACCATCTTTATAAAATTATAAATGATTTATTATATGTTGATAAATTATTGAAGGAAATAAGTATAGGTGAATCAATTTTTTAAAATCAAACTCGTTTCAGCATAGATATCAGAAGTAAAAAGTTCAACAATGTACAGTGTGTCCAGTTTTCGATGCTTTTGCGTGATATCTCAGTTCTCTCTGGAGATAGAACCTTGCGGTTTTCGCGGTCCAGTGCCACTACTGCCACTTTGTGTGAGTAGAATTCAAGATGGCCTAATCAGATTTTGCATAACTGTTTTCGTTTATGAGATACGGGGCGATTTTGAAAATTTATACTTTTTGAACCCCCTTTATATCTACGAAGTTCCTTAGCGAAAATCTCAAATTAAATTCTTATACCATAGAGGATTTTACGCAGAATCCAGTGGCGCACTCTTTTTTTTTTTTCGGGGTACGGTTTTCCAGATACGACTCAAACTTATGATTGTTTAAACGGAACACCCTGTATTTCATAAGCTCATTAAATACCGTATTTTTATTTCCTTCAAAATAATATATGATGAATAGATATAACATTGTCGAAAGTGCTCAAAAATCATTAAAACCATAGTCGAAACATTGAATTTTAATAGTGGGCTATAGATTTTTTTTATATTTAAAAAGTTCCAATTGAAGGAATATTCCCATGAATTTTTCCATGAAGATGACAAAAACAATATCAACATTAATCAACTGATAAAACACAAAAGTAAGGTACCTGAAAGCAACAAAGAAATAGTAATAGAAAGTTTATAGTGTAGAATAAGCACCTGATTAAATATTTACGAAAACAATTGAATTTCGAAATTATTCAGTAACTTATTGTCCATTTTCCCTAACACACAATAATTAACACACTTTCTCAATACGTCTTCTACAGTGAGAGGCACAACAATCTTGAAGAACTTCGTGCAAAAATAGTTTTCCAGAAATAAAATGACATCTTTTAATGGTTTTGAATGCATAAGACGTTTTGAGAAAGTGTTTGAGGAAAAATAAACATCAATTTAAACAATTCAGTGAATAAGTTACTGAATAATTTCGAAATGCAATTGTTCTAGTTTATATTGAATCAGGTATTTATTCTAAATTATGAACTTATTACTATTTATTTGTTGCTATCAGGTAACTTAGTTTTGTGTTTAGTTAGTTAATTAGTGTTGGTATTGTTTCTGTCTTCTTCATGGAGAAATCAAAGGAAATATTCCTTCAATTGGAACTTTTTTCATGAAAAATCCACCCAATCCGGTTGAAATTCAATGTTTTAGCGATTTCGGAGCATTTATGAGATTTTTATATCTATACATTATAATTCATTTTGAAGGAAAACAATAAGGAATTCAATATGAGCTGATTATATATTTGAAAAATCATAAGTTTAAGTTGTATCTCCAAAACCATACCCCGAAAAAAAAATTTAGTGCGCCACTGGATTCTGCTCTATGGGCTGAGATTTCAACTAGACATATTCGCTGAGAAACTTCATAGATATAGTGGAGGTCCAAAAAGTTTAAATTTTAAAAATCGCCCTGTATCTCAAAAACAGAAAGTTATGCAAAATCTGATTAGGCCATGTTGAGTTCCACAAAAATGTGGCACAGGACTGTGAAAACCACAAGATTCTATCTCCAAAGATAACTGAGATATCATGCAAAAGCATTGAAAACTGGAAACACTGTACAGTGTCACCAGTGTGTCCAATTTTCGATACATTTGTTTTCAAAATAACTCAATAAATAATCTTCCCAAAACATCTTTTTTTTTTGAGAAATTGAATCACCCAGTATAATTTTAACGTTTTTGATCTATGAGACATTCTAATGTAATTATTGCTCACATCTTCCATGTTTGGATTCAAAATCTGTTTGCTTTCCTCAATATCAGATAACTGCTTCACAAGAAATTGTACAATGGATTCTTTTAATCTCTCTTCATCATCTTGAGGCTTGAAAAAATCAGGTTTTCGATTTATTGATAGAAAAATATAGCTGAGGATAAATTAATATGGTTTCAAATCCAAAAAGAGTTATTGATTAGTGACAATAATGATATAAAACATAAATTATTAAGATTAATGTTCCATAAAATATTGGAATCATGATAAAATATATAAAAAAAATCTATATTTTCACTGTGTACTCATTTCCACACCTTTGGTATCCATACATTGAGAGAAATACTTGTTTCTAAATTCTCTACATAGTGCCACCATTTATTTGGCACTCTCAAAACATCTCCAGGTTCCAATATAATTTTTTTGCATGTAGTAATTTCTGAAAAGAAAATATGCTTTAGCAGGCAATGTTAACTGAACTATTGGCCCACATATTATACCTCTGAAATATCTGAAATCATTACAATCAGGACTGAAAAAATTTAATTTGGAATAGATACTGGATTCTTCATATGGTATTCTGGTAGGCTGTAGATTTTCATTAGGAGGAAACAGAAGCCATAATTTTCTGGAATATAAATTAACAAAACAGAGTGATAATAGAGACATCCATCATTCACTGTATGTTTTATAATTCCAATATTGAAAAAAAAGAAGTAGTTATATTCACCTGCCATACAATTGACAAACCACATTATACCCATAGGTATCCATGTGACAGGGTGTATGAGCCCCTTTAGACCCAATCCATATTGTACTATCATCAGCTCCTACATCAGCCAAACCCAGAGACTTCCAATTTATTTCCTAAACTTGAAATTGAAATCATATGAAATTGCTCAATTCAATTCACAATCATTACATTTCTCAGCTTGTCCAAGTTGTGGGAGCAATCTTTCATGTATTTGTAATCAAAGTAAAGCCACTTTGGATGGCCTCCTTGCTGAGAGTGTTTCAAAAAGAATTCGAAATTCTCGTCAAAGGACTCGGTGGTTCTTTCCCATTGGGGCTCTGCTGTCTTCTGTAATACACCGGAGCGAAACAACATTTTCTCATCCGACAAAACAGTCTTCCAATCGTCAAGAGACCAATTGAGAAGGGCCCAATTCAGGACCTTCCTGAAAATAAGCGGCTCTTCCTCGATTTCAGCGCGTTCCATTATTATTAGGACATCACTTTATCGTCACGCTGAAATAGTAAAATGTTTGATTTGGAGTTTTTAAAGTTGAATTTTGTCACAGTTTTTCAGGTTAGGATTTGATTTGACGTCTCACCCTAACCGTATTCTTCTTCCATCTTCGCTCAGCTCTCGCCTCACCGCGTTGGGCCTTTGCCCGTTTCATTTAATAATATGGCCCCAAGTTAAAAACATGAAGAACTGACTGGATGTCCAGCCTGAGAGGCGAAGAAACGCAGAAGAAGAAGATGATGAATCTCAGGTGACACTGGTGACAGTAGTGACAAGTAGTGACACTGTGATAGGTTCACTAATTTGACGTGACATTTCGAATACAAAAAATTAAAAATTGAAAAATTCTTTGAGAATCCCACCAAGAGATTTTTGTAAGAATATTTGAGTGCGCCTCTCAATTAATTGCAGGTTCCAATAATGGCTTTGTCTCTGATACTTAGAAATGCAGCTAGGGCGAATGGTATGGAAGGGTTTATGTACTTTAAAATAATAGAATATTACATAACATTATGTTTCAGGGATGTCCAGTATTATAAAATCCACAATAATAGTGGACTCCAGGAAAACCTTTTCACAATTACTGGATAAAAGCAAAGTGATATCTCCCCTGTACAGGAAAATAAACTTGCCTATAGTAAAAAGATCCATGTCTGGGGATCACAGCAAATTATGGCCCATTGAGAAGGCAGTTTCAGTAATTCTTCTGGGAGTTGTCCCTGCAACTTTTTTGACACCTAATGTTGTCCTTGATGATATGTTTGCTGTTCTAACAGTTGTGCATTTCCATTGGTAAGGAAGTTGAAACTAGATTATTGTTAGGGACATTGTATTATTGTGATCTTCATTGTCATATATCATCTATATTTTTAGGGGTTTAGAGGCGTGTGTAGTTGATTACATTAGACCTATTCTGTTTGGAGCAGCATTACCAAAAATAAGTCTTGGTTTGTTGTATCTCATTTCGGCTGCTACTCTGGGAGGACTCTTGTATTATAACCATCATTGTGGTGGCATTGGGCAGACGGTCAGACAATTCTGGGAAATCAAGAAATGATTCAGACTTTCATATATTATGGGATAACCAATTTTTTGAAAAGTATTTATTCTTATTAAATTTAATTGATGTTTTACTATTGTTTATTGATTATCTGGAAAGTAAAGGAGTTATTGACTGATTTAGGAATAATTTGTTTTCAGTTATTCAAAAGGTTATTTTTTCTGAAAAAAGTTTGGAATTTCATCTCTGTTGGCAGGTTATAAAATGTTACTACACATCAACCTGGAGCTAAAATCTACTACTTTTTTCCCTTGTATAATAAATAACTTATTTTTCATGATTTCACTTGCCATTATTTTTTATGGAAACATAAATTTGAAATATTTTGAATTGCAGGAATCTGGAATGCGATTTGCATATTTTACTAGTTTAGGGGACATTTTCTTATGGCCCATATTGCCTATGGATTATGGAACCTTGTTTCCAGAGTAGATGACAAGAAACAAATTAAAATAAGAAGAATAGAAACGTCAAAATTTGAGATTATTTCCGTGAATAAATTTGAATCATTTAAAAATGTGAAAGTATGTATTTGCAGGTGGCAAATGCGAAAAACTGTAGTGTTTACTTTCTATTCGACTATCAAGGTTTTGTTTGCTGAAAGGACACCTTGTTAGTTGTTATGATTGAATATTTGAACTTCATTGTTTCACTTCACAATGGGTGCCACGCAGGTAAGATTAAAAATATCAAAATCCGTCTGTATTTGTTGTCTGAGTGGAGATGTCTGTTGTTGTGCTCTTAAAACTCCATATGTATTTATACATAATTCTCCCTCAGCATATTAGATTTATTTTCATTATCATATTATTATCATATTACCAGATGTGTATATAGATACTAAGATATTGATACATATAGGTATGTATGGTATGATGAAATTTGAAATAAATATAGGATTATGAATCAGTATTACCATAGATCTAGATAAACACTATTTAGATCTATTGTATTACATTCTAGAAACATACATTATCAGGAACTCCATAATGCCAATGATTGATCATTTGATTAAGAGAATTCCTACAAGGATTTTTAGATTTGTTCACAATGGTTTCTGTAGGATTTTTGTGTCTAATTTCCAATGAATGACAACAAAACAGCTCCTCTACTTTCACTTATTTGGTACTTGGAATTGTTATCAAGGATTTTCATCAATTTTAATTATCTTATCTTCTTTTGGAAGTGAAATAATTATAATCTACCTATCTATAGTAACAATAAATGGATGATGATAATGATATTAATAAAAATATGAACTTATTACAACTGAAAACATGGGCAGAGCATGTAGTAAAGTACTTATATATTGTAAACTTTTTATATTTCCTGTATTTTCATTCAACTCAAATGATTTATTCTCTGATTCATCAAATATCCTCTGATACCTGTAAAATAATCAATAGGGTTTAAAGAAAATCAGTTGAACATTATTGCAGACTAAATATAATATGAATAAATGTGTATGTATAACATTTTTTGCACAAACAAATGATATTTTCCTTTTCAGTACAATGATCAAGATGAATTTTTGTATGATCCCAAATTATTAGAAGATTTGGATTGGGCTTCTGTGCTTCAATTCCTAAATCCACCCATAACAAATGAACAGCCAGGAGAAGAATGGCTTCTAGTGAGGCCATTGAAACTATCAGACTTTGATAGAGGGTATTTACAAATTTTGTCTCAGCTGACAAATGTTGGAAATGTCTCTAAAGCTAACTTTGAAAGTAAGTATTGAAATGATAATGGAAGCAAGAATTGAAGTAATGAATTTTAGGTCAATTCCAGAAAATGCGCAATACTGGTGGTCACTACATCACTGTTATAGAAGATACAAAAATCAACAAAATTATTGGATCTGCATCACTCATAACTGAATTTAAATTCATCCATGAATGTGCACTAAGAGGTAGACTGGAAGATGTAGTAGTGAACAATACCTACAGAGGCAAACAACTTGGAAAACTGTAAGTTTTTGCATTTTATTAATATCAATTTGCTGATAATATATTTCCCAGTATATTTCCAACAAAATGTGTTAAATAAAATAACTTGGGTTGAAGCTGTCTCTAGGGCTAATTACATAGTGATAATCCATAATAATTCTAGCACCTTGATGGATTTTAGATGTGGTGTACCACAAGGGTCAATTTTGGGACCAACCTCATTTTGTGCATACATAAATGATTGTCATCAAAATTTATATGTTTTGTAAATGATACAATTTTTATTCACTCATAATCTATATAGGGCACATCAATATATGATACTGTCTAAGGAATATTTCCATGATATCAGGTGTTTTCTAATTATTTCAATTTACGAGAAATTTCATACTGAAAATTGAACAAAAAACGGGAAAAAATCAAGTTCGCCGTTTTGGAAATATTTTAATGATTGAACTCCTCCTGATATTGCCTTCAGCATGGAAATTTGAACAGAAGAGATTTCAGAATTGCTACATTGTAGAACTATAAGTGGAAAAAGGGGGCCTCATATCAAATTTTATTTTGATCCCTAGATTTTTGTATTGGTCCATTCAATAGTATATGTCCAGCTTTCTCAGGGTTTGAAATATTTGCACTTATTTCAATGCCACCCTGTTTATATAAAAGAAAGTCCAAATTCAGTTGCACTATTATTTCATAACTCAAGAACGGCTGAACCGATTTGGCTGAATATTAGTGGGGAGATTGCTTGGAACCAGGAGACGGGCATAGGATACTCAATATCCCAGTACTTACTATTAGAAAATTCAAGATGGCGGATCCAACATGGCGAATTTTGTGATTATGATCCGATTCTATTCAAAATTGGTATCTGGGGGTGCTGGAGATCGGAGATTATGGTTCCTTCGTGAAAATTGAGAAATTCAAGATGGCGGATCCAATATTGCGGACGAGTTTTGTAATTATGACCAGATTCTATTCAAAATTGGTATTGAAGAGATTTTCGAGATCGAGGATTATGATTCTTTCGTCAAAATAGGAAATTCAAGATGGCGAATCCAATATGGCGGACGAGATTTTGTAATTATGATTCGAATCTATTCAAAATGTTATCTGGGGTTTTTTGGTCGGAGATTCTGATTCTTTTGCGAAAATGTGGAAATTCGGGCGGAATTTGGAAATTCGAGATGGCGGAACGAAGATATGGCAGACGAGTTTTGTAATTATAGTCCGATTCAATTCAGAATTTCTTCCTAGTGAAGGAAACAGGAGTAGCAAATAAATGGTAGTTTGAAAAACTAAATATAAACACGCTTTTATAGATAGTCAAAAACTAAAAAGAAGTAGAAAATAAAATGATGATGATGAATGTTCAACTGAAAAAATATTGTCTATAGAAATAATTAATGTATATAGCAAAACGTTTGCGGTCAGCTAGTTTTCTATACAAGTTTGAATGTCATTGTTGATTCAATAATCTGTATTTCAATTGAATATAGTATAAGATTTTAAATGGAGGCATCATAGATAGACTCAATTTCAACACTCAAACACATTTTTATTCACTCAGGACGGCTTGTACAAAGATGACCGTTTATAAAAATACAACATCGACAAGTGATTCGTTCTGATGCTACAATGCTAAAGGCTAAACCTGCTTCAATCTTCGATCACACGATGATTACGAATACCGATGAGTCGTCGAGGCTGCTTGTGATGATTTACGATTTATTACGGGGTGATTTGAACATCATCGCTAACAATAGGGTGACACTTGTACAGGGTGATCCATTTATGATAGCAGATTCGTGATTATTTCGGCCATTTCGGCGGCTGAGTGTTATTGCATTATTAAAAACATAATTAAAGGATAACTGCACTGATATTTAATGCGATTTTAATCCGTTCAGGATCGTGTTGACTGTCACCTTACTCAGCAAGAAACTGGGCTGCTATAAGATGTCTTTGGACTGCAAGGACGCCCTCATACCTTATTACAAATCTTTGGGGTACAAATCGGAGCCGGGAAACTCAAACTCTATGATGAACAGGTTCGAGAAAGAGGATCCCTCCTGACAATTAGCCGCCGATGCCTCAAATAACACCAAATCGAAATTGTGAAAATTCCTTTATTCCATATGAATTTTTGATAAAAAAAACATATCCACCATGTATAATGTTGCTTTCCATTTTTTTTTTATATCGGAAAATATAAATTATAAATACCTAATTTAATGTATGGAATGATGATTTGGTGTCTGAGGCATTGGCGTCTCGGAAGTTGTATATTTTATTCATCCTAACTTAGTTTTATTTCCCGGTTCAAATAACTGTGAAATCAGTTAATTGGCTAAATGAGTCCTCTCATATGTTCTATCAATTTAAATACAAATTGTATTCCTATTGCAAAAGATGTTTGCCTTTTAGGTGATCTTGATTTGTTATTAAATATTGATTTCGATTTATATTTATTCACCAAATCTATTTCCTGTTCCTCAATTCTATGTATGTATGTATACTATGGTAGGTATCAAGAAAAAAAAAACGGAAGTTGAAAGCCACATTGAGGCATTTCCACAGCCCTTATCAGAAGTTATTTAACTGGAAGCAATCTCCGCACGTTTGATTCTCAAATAGGACAACCTGTATATTTCGATATGTTGATCAGAAAAAAATCCTAGTGTTAATAAAACGATCTCCTGAATCCAAAAGCAAAAAAATATACAGGGTGTCCTATTTGAAAATGAAAAGTTTGGGTTACTTCTGGTTCAACCGGAAGTCTCAAAGAACATTATTGTGACGTAGTTCACACATTGACTACCAGATCATTATATGTATATTAGAGGTTAGCAAATTGATATGGACTAATACCGGGCGATATGGCGATTGTGATGTCATAAATTGTTCAATCATTTAGAACTTGATGAATATGGAGACACAGGTATAGGTAATCATCAAAAATATTTCTATTGTTGAAAAAAGATTGGACATCTTGATAAAACCCGAGATAAAATATAATACACAAGTATTACTTATTGATATGAAGGATTAACTTTTTTCTTTGTTGTTTTGCAATCTCAAATTCTCAAAAAGTGCACTGTAATACACCTATATTAAATGCCTTTAGACTTTAGATGTAAACTGGTGAATATTGATAACGTCGTGCTCCAAAATATAGCCTGAATTCAAAGTAGAATAACAACTCACGAATTTCCTCACCAATTTGAAATCGGTCTTCACCGATGATTAGCCTATTCTCTTGACAGTTTTTTGTGGCAATATGAAACTTCTGTAATTTCAGATAACATTGCTACAGGGTGATAATTGAATGGGTGTAAAATTGCATCGTGGTCATCACCTTACCGTTTGAGCAGATAATTTTTAAATTTTTTTTTTCTCACCTGTATCCTCTTGATTGATGCTTTCTCTAGAAACTTTTTCGGAATTTTCAAATTCAGAGCTTTGATAATCGTGTTATGAATATTCATTCAGAATGATAAATTTTTTCGACGATTAATTGAATGAAATTGAAAGTTGGAATTCTTATCCGAAGAATCAACGTTGTATGTATAGTCGTCGGATATGTGATCATGTTTGAACACAGAAAATGCTGAAAAAGTCTATACAAAGTGATACAAGAAATACTGACTGATGGAATGGAGAATAACGTAGTCTTCAGTAGATGAAACATAATTTTCTCTGTGTTACTAGTGGAATAATGGAGTGTTACTTCGTCATGAGGATGTCTGGTGTCTCACTTCGAAATGGTTTTGTAATTTTTTGGATCGAAGGTCATATAATGAAAGTACGCATTTTTAATCGAAATGATGCATTTTCGTTAAGATAAATTATAAAATTCAAAAAAGAGAAAATTATGTTTCATCTACTGAAGACTACGTTATTCTCCATTCCATCAGTCAGTATTTCTTGTATCACTTTGTATAGACTTTTTCAGCATTTTCTGTGTTCAAACATGATCACATATCCGACGACTATACATACAACGTTGATTCTTCGGATAAGAATTCCAACTTTCAATTTCATTCAATTAATCGTCGAAAACATGCATCATTCTAAATGAATATTCATAACACGATTATCAAAGCTCTGAATTCGAAAATTCCGAAAACGTTTCAAGAGAAAGCATCAATCAAGAGGATACAGGTGAGAAAAAAAAATTAAAAAAATATCTGTTCAAACGGTAAAGTGACGACCACGATGCAATTTTACACCCATTCAATTATCACCCTGTAACAATGTTATCGAAAATTATAGAGGTTTTATATTGATTAGTTAGTTATTCTACTTTGAATTCAGGCTATATTTTGGAGCACGACGTTATCAATGTTGACCAGTTTAGTTTGATGAAAATGTCGCTGCCACATCACATTCATTTCCTTGGTAATGATGTAACTTTGTGACTGATATAAAATCTACATTGATTGGCTCTGGGATTAAAATAATTCATAAAACTCGGAAGTTTCTGTCAAATGGTTTTATAAATAACAACATAACATAAGTCTAAAAATGCGACTTGCTGGGATCAGTAAACAACGCCGTAAAAATGTAAAACAAAGTCGGCAAAGGCACCAAAAGGATCAGCAAAGCGTGGATAGGAGGATCGGCCAGCTGAGTCAACGATATGATACCGTAGGCGTGCAAAAACCAATGCCCTAGCAGAATGACGACGTTTCGCGGTTCAGTCACCGTCGTCAGTATCAAGGCTTTGACGCTCTGGTCCAGCCTCACGGCGAAATGCGATGCGCAGGATATCACGGACAGAATCAAAACCAAGTGTGGAAAACAATAATCTGAAATGCAAAATTCAAGAATTTCAAACAGGGGCCCCTTTGAGAAAAGCTTGCAAACTCACATAGGAGGCCTCCAATTAAGGCGTGCATCAAGACCAATACCGGAATGAAATACATTGCCGCGAAAATTGACATTTTGCATTTGTGCCTCGTGAATTTGTTGCAAACCCAAGGTCTGACAAAGATCATCATCAGCAAACTCAAGCCGTAAAACAGAAAAACTGTTGTGTATCTGTAACATAAAGAAGTTGTTAGAAACTGATTATCCACACTTCTAATCAGTGACGGCTCGTCAGGGACGGCAGGGTCGGCCGGGCCGTACCAAATAATTTGGGGAAAATTACTGAACTATTTGATGAATAAAATTATTTTCCGAAACTGTTTTCATAATTCATCGCTCATTATCCTACTGTTATGCCACTATTATTTGAATTTCATTCATGGAACCTTTGAGTATGCTATCCGCATATACACCGAAAATCACGAACTAATTCAGGACCTACGACATCTGGTAATCCCATCGTCAAAACGCCGCTTTCAGTTGAAACGCTCGCGTAGCTCATTACACTGATGCAGACGGCCGGCCGATGGGTGATTTCTTGTCTCGACGCATCGCCACAGGCATCGCCTACAGATTCCCCGCTTCAAGTTTAAATTTTCGCTTATACGCGTCATACCTTCGGTGCGGCCAAGCTCTGCTGGCCGTCCAACGTATCGATCGTACTTATCAGTATCAGTTGTTTGCAGTGCGCTCGCTGTGCAGCGTATCGAACCATTCCGACCTAATTTTTAATATACGGATTGGCATGATTGACATTCTATTTTCATTTTACATTGTAGGTATTTATAATTTTAATTCCTATACTTATTTGTAAGTTGATGTTGGAATTTGAAATGTACAAACTGAAAAGAAAAATAATTTCCATGTTTTTGTTTACGCTTGCAGTAGTTGCAGTAAAAATGACTGGTGATTTTTGAATTTGCAATTTTTCAGTAATTCATAATTCAACATATCCATCTAATATTGGTATCAGAATTTTCCTTCAGTGCTTCTGAGCGTCAATAAGTTATAATTCAATTTGAATATTGCTGTAATGTAACCTACTGTGCCTCTGCCTATGTAGGTAATATGGCAAGAAAAATGTCAGCAGTCCAAGAGCTGAGTAGGTATTGAAACATCATAAAAAAGCTCTGGTGACGAAAATGTAATAGATGTATAACTTCCAGAATATCATTTATTTTCAAAGACTCATGTAGCGGTTATAAACTACCTAAATAATATTTATGCATCCATCGCATCGCGGGAAACATTATACCTACGGCTGCACCCTGCACGCGGGCTCGGCCAGCCGACTACGAAGGAGTGGGGTCAGTGGGGTGGCTTGTTACAGGAACGGCTAAGGTGGCTATAATTGACTGGTGTAGCAACTCTTCAATTGTTTCTGGAACGAATGTGTCGATCGATTTTAGCATAGAACACAACCAATAAGGGTCGGTAACATAGGAATTTTGCGGTTATGTTGATTTTTTTGAGTTTACATTACGTTTTCAACAGAATATAAATATTTTTTGTTCACGAGTTATTTTATTCTTATTTTCTTTCATTTTATTTTTTCGACTTTCTTGTTATTATTTTTTCATACCAACTAACCCTTATCCACCTCCTTTTTCTTTCCCCATTTCCCCTGGCGAGAATGCTCTAACCTCGTGGTTCTTGCTGGACAATTTAATTTTTTGGTTATGTGTACAGGGTGATTCACCATAAATGTCCCCCCCTCTAGCTCAATTATTTTTAAACCGATTTCAAAATTTGAAATATCATCTTGAATGATTTCTGATTGAGTTTTTTTCCGCTACATCAGAAAATACAGGGTGCTCAGAACAAACGATCTACAGGGTACCATTTGATTTTTTTATATGGAACACCCTATTTTTCATTGTATTTTTAGATTCTCCCTGAAAAGCTGATTTGCTCAATGTATCACACTTGGGGTCTATCGGGAATGATTACAGAGATATAGGGTGTTCAAAATCGAGATTTTTCAACTTTAGGATTTTTTTGAGACGAAACTATTCATCATCGGTCAAAACGGCTTTCATGTCCATATCTCAACTTTTGATTTACTATCTACTGACATTTAATAATTGGAACAGATACAGGGTGATCAGAATTCTGAATCTTGAACCACGCTGTAAATGTTCCAATCAAATCTCAATAGACAGTTAATCAAGAATTAAGATGGAAACATGGGAGCCGTTTCGACCAATAATGAATAGTTTCGAGATAAAAAAATCCTAAACTTGAAAAATCTCGATTTTGAACACCCTATATCTCTGTTATCATTCCCGCTAGACCCCAAGTGTGATGCATTGATGAAATCAGCTCTTCAGGAAGAATCTAAAAATACAATGAAATACAGGGTGTTCGATTTGGAAAAATCGAGTAGTACCCTGTAGATCATTTGTTCCGAACACCCTGTATTTCCTGATGCAACGGGAAAAAAGATTCTGAGAAATCATTTTAGATCATCCTTCAAATTTTTAAATCGGGTCAAAAATAAGTGAGCTAGAGGGAGAAAGGACAATTATGGTGAATCACCCTGTACATGCTTATTTGCCATCGAACTTCACTCAAGCCGCTGACCCACTTACGTTCGCATTTTAGAGCAATATCTATACCCTGGCCGACCCAGGTTCTGAGGGCACGAGCCGTCACTGCTTCTAATATACATTTCAATTTTCAATTCAATTCTGAATATATTAATAAGTTATATTTTTATATCATAATACATCATATTATTTCATCCGATTTGAGAGATGATGTCAATTCTCAATTTTAGAAGAATTTCATTTCTCATGCTCTCTTTTTGGATGTTCAACAGATATAATTCAATATTCCACGTGGCAAGTAACCAGGAGAGAAGTTGTTTTCTGTTGACTATTCCACTCGTTGATCTCGAGAACCAATCAGAATCGACCATTTTCATGGTTTCTTCTGTATTTATTCTAGCGATATTTTTTGTTGATTAAATTTTATCGGACTTGCTCTATATCAATACAGAAGCCGAATTGACCCACACGTGACCAACTAACCTCGTTTATCAGCGATAAAATTTTGACATCGTGCCTGGTCAAGATTGCTTTTCGATTCATATCTGAGACAATAACCTAAGTTCCTACTTTATTTTATTTACTTATAATTCGCGTTAGTGAGATATTTTGTACGAAAGGCGAGACAATTTTATTCTGGCTGGACGTTTCATGTGTAATTTAAAAAGTTTGCATATTTGTTGACGGTCTGACACAACAATAATAGAATTCAAATTCCTTTTTGAAGTAATCTTCTTCAATTACTCAAGTTATTGTGACTGACTGATATAACTACTAGCTGATTTAGCGCAACTGTTAGGGTTGTTGCGCGAGGATACGAAGGTTGATGGTTCGAGCCCTCGGCGACGATATCTTTTTTTTTAATTATTCCATGTCACATAAATTCAATTATCATTATGTTCTTCTTCGCAGTTCGAGTTGGAATATACTTAAATTATGTTTCCTATTTCTTATATATATTGTCTCATTCAATCATGAAATAGTCATACGAATACAACTCGTGATAGTATTTTTCCTGGAAATATTCGTCGATTGACATACTCCAGCTTGCTGCTCTAATTTCGCTCATGACATTGTCATAACAATGTCATTCACGAAATTACTAGACAACAAGCTGTCCATTCACGAAATTACTAGGCAACAAGCTGTCGTAACAATCACCGAATATTTCCGGCAAAATTTTATCACTTGTGGTATTATATTTGAATAAACCGAGAAAGAATTGATATTTTCATCACATAGAAAATGCGAATTCTCAATGTATTTCTTTATACAGGGTGTTTCGGAATTCGACCAACAACGCTTGACAGGTGATAGCCCTCATGATTTCATAACCAATGAGATAGGGACATACGGTCTTCAAGTGTTCAGTTCTCGAGATACAGGGCGTTAAAGTTAAGAAATAAAAATAGTTGTTTTGCAATATCTCAAGAATGATTGAATAAATGTGTAATAATAAATGTTGGGGAGTTTGGATGCTCCTCTGACCGGGGGCCCATGGCATTTTGCCGACTTGCCACCCTGTAGTTACGCCACTGAATACCCTGTACGAAGAAAACTTCCAGAAACTTCCTTTACAGCGCAAAATACACTCACCGGCAAAAAAAACGCCGACCACCAAAACATTTTGCCAAATTGTTAGCCATGTAACTTTTTTAATTCTTGTCTGATTTTGGAGAAATTTCGACCAAATGGTGAGTATATTCAAGTTTTTGAATGTTAGGCTGAATCTAAGAAAAGCTGATGGCTTGATCACTATATAAGGAGATACAAAAGTTACTGTTTCCTGAACTTCTCAACGTGTTTTGGATTAAAGTGTGATCCCTTCTCAACACAATGTTTTTTTTTACGTGGATAATCACTGTTTTAAGAGAGTATGTTTTTTTTATTAACAATAATTCAGAACTTCCTTTAAAGATCACTATTCTCAATAATGTTACTTTATGTAACCCGCAAAAAAAAATTTTGCCAAATATTGTTATGTTCACCCTGTAACTTTTTCGATTCTTGTCCGATTTTGGAGAAATTTCGACCAACTGGTAAGTATATATACATGTTTTGGAATGTTAGGCTGAATATTAGTTCCTAAGAAAAGCTGATGGGTTAATCATTATCCAAGGAAATACAAAAGTTACTCTTTCCTTGACTTCTTAACGCCCTGTAGCAAAGGTGAGTGGTTAAACTTGTCTTTCATTATGTTTTGGATTAAAGTGTGATCCCTTCACAACATGATGGTTTTTTATACACGTCAATAATCACTGTTTTATAAGAGACTATTAACAATAATTCAGAACCATTCTTCAAACTTCTGCTTCATCATGTTTATAATAGTTGAAGTGTGAAGACCCGTTTTCCTCCCTTCTCAAGACAAGGGTTCTAGATTCACATCAATATCTTCTTTTTAAGAGAAGATACAAGTGTTTTAAGAAAGTATAGAATTTTTTAATTTTTATGGAATGTAATATTAGTGAAATTGGTACCACAAGGAGTCAGAAAACCAAGAAACATAAAAGAAGAAGAAATGTAATACAGAATCTATAGAGAGCATCATAAAGATGAATTCCAGAGGCTCATCCACCTTCTTCTTGTCAGAGACTCTTCAAGACTACCTGATAAATTTGATCAATTTGATGCCATGGTGCTTGAATGCTGCTATAGTTTCTGTATTATTGTAGTTAAAAATTCAAAAAATTCTTCTCTTAAAAATAAGATATTTACATAATTCAAAATAATCAAAATCCATTGTGTTGAGAAGGAACCATACTCACACTTCAATCCAAAGCATAATGAAGCCAAGTTCACATATAAATATTAAAGATATTATGATATGATGATCAAGAGAAAAGTTGTTCATGGAGTACTTACAATGGATACACTGCTTCTTGAGTACAATACACCTTTTTCTCATAATTGGGAGTAGGATTATGAAAGAGGGTGTACCAATCTGATATTCTTCTTACTCTACAGCTGGATATTCGGAGATATCCAATAGGACTGGAAATAATTATGGCAAGCAAAGATGCCACCATAACTTCAAAATATGCAGAAGCATGCAGAATAATGACATCTCTACTGAAACTATAAAATAGTTTATTCATTTATGAGGGTATATAGAAGTGGGTAAATGTATATAAATATAGATCATACCGTCTTTTCATGGAGACCATATCAATGAAAAACCAATGCAGCACCAAGAGCAGTAGTACCATGAACCCTAAGTATAGCCAGTCGTAGAAGGAAGGGGTGTCTGTACATTCTTCACAGATGAAGGATGTATCGTTTCTTCGGAAGCCCCTGGGACAAGGACCACATTCACTGATTGCCTCATTTAGGAAACGTATTCTACCACAATACCAGCCAGGACAGGACATTTTTATTGCTATTCAAATTTTGATTTCCATTGTTGCCCTAAACTTTGGTATTCAAATGATTAGTTTATTTCATTCTTTATTATTATTTTGTTTACAATCTCAAGTCTCAAAATCAAAATATTGAAATAAGTCCATTAATCAGCTGTTCCTGTTGTTGTGAAATGTAAGGTGTCAGCTGTCAAGATGTTCTTACACTCAGTGCATTATTGAAGGAAGAAGGTTGTACTGCTCGGACATCGGAGGAACCAAATGAACAGACATTCTTCTTCTTTTTTTTAAGAACTGAATGACTGTTGACTTCTGCTCTCTAGGATATCCGGGCTACGTCAACGTCCATCAAATATCAAACGTTTATTTGGTGGTATTTTTATTTGTTTAATGTCATAATGTGGGGGTAATGTTATTAATGTATAAAAATGAAATAATTTGAATATTCCATTTCCCTGTATTTCGATGATTCACAAAGTCGATTAAAATGTCCTGCAATCATTGCAATACCAAATTCAATTTTTTTCATAGGGAGGTAATACATTATTCATTGTTCTACAACAGGGACCCAAAATGATTATAGTTTTCCAATATAAATTTGTTTCTAATAATATTTTTCCTCAAATAATTAATAATACATTTATTTCAGCTTGGATGTTCGACTTGTGGACTATCTTTCTGCAGCAAGTGTTTGAAGAAAGGGCCCAATCTGTGCAAACTGTGTTTTTCAAAATCATCCTCTGGGCAGACCTCTGAACAGTCTAATGTTCCTCCACCAGATAAATTCATCAAGTGCATTGTCATAAGCTTTTGTATAATGATGAAATATTCTGAGCATTTTTTATTTCCAGGAGATTAGAAAATTTACAAAATCCTACAGTTTCACCAGTAAAGATTTACAAACAAGATGTGGATTCAGATGCATTCAAGAGTGGTCTTAATGCAAAAGATAAAGAGTTGGTGGAACGTTTAGAAAAGATCAAGAATGATGGAAAAAGACCTGTACCTAGTGATAGTGAAATCAGGCAAAGACTGGCAAAGTTGAAAGGACAAAATGAATATGTGGAAACTTCCAGTAAACCAGTAAGATAACTTACTACAGCCTCACTGTTTTATTATTTATACTCTTCTACCTACTGTTTGAAATACTGCTTCTCAATATTAAAATATTCTGTAATTTGGTAGTACCTATATTTGTAAACAAATGGTTAATTTGTCAATGTATTTATTTATTTATTATTTTAATTATTTTTCTTACCTTTTTTAGCTTTTCACAGTTGATAAGAGAACAGACCAAGAAAAGATTGATTCACTTTTGGAACAGTTCAATTCAGAGAAAGATATTGAACTGGCTCATAATCCTGCAAATGAGATTGAAGTCAGATTAGCTGCTTTGAGAGAACAAGGAGTTAGACCCAATGAAGGATCCTATATCAGTAATTTACAAGATTCTAGTGGATCAGAAGAAGAGATTGATAAAATCACAAAGAAGGTTTGGGCTGCCTAAATTTTGTATTTAAACACCTAATGATATCAATAGTTCCTTCTTATTTCTTGAGTGTTTATTCATTAGCTCCTATGACATGAAGAAAACATATATAAATTAATTTAAAATGGTAATAAGTATAAGTGGCTATTACAGTTTCCAAGATGATACTTATAACCCACATTATAAGGTATTTTTATCTATATTGCTTATTCCTTTTCATGTTCTTGTTATAATAACTAACTAACCACCCAGTATTTATATTTTCCTGATATTTGGTCAGGTACACATGTTTTTCTATCCAAGCAACTGTTTGAGAATATCCAGGTTTGGATTAACAAAAATTCAGTAAGGTGTGAAATTGTTGTTATATTATTGAATTCACAGAATTAAAATTTGAGAAGTAAAAAGAAGTAAAATTGAGGCATATATACTATTTTTATTACCATACAATTTTGCTATCTAAATTTGTATTTTAAATGATTGCATTTGAATGGTTGAAAATGCAATATTTTGGATTTCCAATATTAAACCATGAAAGTGTATATTGATGTGAATTCATTTTCATTGCATCACATGTTTTTGCCTGTATAGTGCACTCTGTGTGTATTAATGCATTTCAAAATAGAGCTGTAACAAAAACAGCCCTTACAAAACAGCACATATATCAAAATGGCATGTTAGAAAATATATATAGATAATAGTCTCCTTCCTCATGTATTTTGATTCATCACCAATATTCTACAATCTTTAATTCAGTTGCAGATATTTGATATATTGGTCTGATTTTATTTGGAAATATGAATATTCTCAGATAAATCATGAACATGAAAAAATGAAATTTGAACCACCCTGTATTTATTTCAATTGAATATCAATTGGTAGTACATGAAAAGTTGAGATATGGACATGAAAACCGTTTATAGTTTCAAGTTTCAACACAAAATATTCTTGAAATTGAAAAATTCCGATTTTTCACACCCTATATCTTTGTTATCAATCCCGCTAGAACCCATGTGTGATAGATCGATGGAATCAGCTCTTCAGGGAGAATCTGAAAATGGAATGATTTACAGGGTGTCCCTTTTAAAAAATCAAAGTTGCTGCTACTTTTCAATACAAACGGCAACGTCGCAACGCTGAGAATATTTTAGGTCAATAGACCACAACTGATTATCCAAGGCAGCAACTTTTCAGAATGATCCTGAGTTGCGTTCTCCAGAAACGTCTAATGTGCCATCCACCGTGAATCACCCTGTATATACAGGGTATGTCATGACGAGCTTACTCTCTATATTGAGAATCAGTCGGGAGAAATCCATGAAAACATGCATGCTCATATTTCAGAATACGCTCTCTTCATTTGAAATATTTCAGCAATGCAGTGTTGCCGCTTCCACTAGAAACTAGTAGCATCATTGATATTTCAAACGAAACACCCTGTATTTTATCATATATACACACTTGGGTTCTATTGGAAAAAATTGCAGAGATATAGGATGTTCAAAATCGAGATTATTATTGGTCAAAACGTCTCACCTGTCCCAATCTCCACTTTTGATTCACTATTTACTGATATTTAATCGGAACAGATATAGAATGGTTCAAGATTCAGAATTCTGAAAAGTTGTTATTGAAAATTCTTCCCCTATTTTATTTATTTATTCATTTATTCATTGAACAAATAACTTCCAGACAGAATAGACTCTGGTATAAGGAAGTACATATTTATATACCTATAGGAACATTTTATCATTCAAAATATATCAACAACTTTGAATTGGCGAACAAAGAATAATATTTGTAGAAAAAACATAGTAAAATGATGGCGAACGAAGAGAAGCTGCCTCCCGACCTAGCCACGCCCCTTTATCTAGCCACGCCCCCCGACCTAGCCACGCCTCCCCACCTGTCCACGCCACCAGTAAAATGATGACGAACTTATGAATGACACTGTAAATCCGGGAAAAAGTTACATTTTACAACCTGTCAACAGAGATGAGATGTCAAACTTTTTTCCTAACCTTCGAACATTCCCTCTTTCTCAGGTGATGGCCGAGGTAGCGCTCGAAGAGAAGCTGCCTCCCGACCTAGCCACGCCCCCCGACCTTGCCACGCCTCCCGACCTGATCACGCCTCCCGACCTGACCACGCCCCCAGTAAAATGATGGCGACCTAGTGAATGACATTGTATATCCGGGAAAAAAATGATTTATAAAAAGTGACATTTTACAACCTGTCAACAGAGATAAAATGTCGAACTTTTTTCCTAACTTTTCTCATGTGATGGCCGAGGTAGCGCTAGAAGAGAAGCTGCCCTCCGACCTAGCCACGCCCCCAGATCTAGCCACGCCTCCCGACCTATCCACGCCTCCCGACATGACCACGCCCCCAGTAAAAGATGGCGACCTAGTGAATGACACTGTATATCCGGGAAAAAATGATTTATAAAAAGTGACATTTTACAACCTGTCAACATAGATGAAATGTCAATCTTTTTCCAAAACCTTCGAACATTCCCTCTTTCTCAGGTGATGGCCGAGGTAGCGCTCGAAGAGAAGCTGCCCCCCGACCTAGCCACGCCCCCAGACCTAGCCACGCCTCCCGACCTGACCACGCCCTCCGAGGAGCCCCGCCCCCCTACCGACGAGCTGCCGTGGTGCGTGCTGTGCAACGCCGACGCCGCCTACCGGTGTCTCGGCTGCGACGGCGATTTGTACTGCGCCGCCTGCAATAAAGAGGCGCACGACAATTTGGCGGAGGAGGGGCATAGGGCGGTGCCCTACAAGGCCGGCCGGTGAGCTGTGTGCTCTTGTTAAGCAGGTAGTGGTTTCGAGTGTTGAAAGCCTTGGGCGGATGCCTTACGTTGATATGCTGTATACGGTGTCATCATGCATAAGGTCCGCATCATAATATGAGAAGAAGTTTTAATGAAAATTTCACACCAAACATTTTCGATCAATTTAAAGCCTGTATTTCGGATTGTTAACATAGCAACTGAACAAATTTCTTGAAAAAATTTTCCCCTTTGGGGAACGGAAATTTTTTGACGTTTATAGGTTAAGTGACATTTACATTCAACTTCAGATTATGTCAAGCTCATTCGATAAATAAAAATCATTCATCAACAGTTTACCATTCAATATTATGTAGATATACTTGCAATATACAGGGTGTTCCTTAATGACATGGTAATATTCAAGGGGGCGATTCTTGAGATACAGGGTATCAAAGTTGAACATATACATAGATTCTTTTTTTGTCCACCCTGTATAGCTTCTCCTGATGGCAAAATGTATTCTGGAATGTGACTGAAACGGTGCAAAAATTTCAAAATGGTACATACTGTGGTTATTCAGTAATGGTTGTCCTGAATGGAGTACTCAAGCTTAGCATTTACATCAAAATTTGAAGTTTGATCTCGTTTTTTCGTTTTTTCTCGAAAAAGGAGCGTCCCATCGGGTATCAACAAGAGGTACAAAATTTAATGACTCTTTATAGTATTTCATTAAATTTTTAAGTATTCCATCGTTGCTCACTTTCAAGTATAATATAATCAATCTTATTTCCCTAACGGCACAACTGGTAGAGAAAATGAAAATTTGAAAACATAAAAAAATGCACCTTGACGCATAAAAGATATGTACCAAATTTCATGAAGATGACTACAATATTATTCCAGTTATCATTTAAAAACTGATTTTTTTCAAAACTATCTCACTGTTGTTACATGCCATTTTCTCATAAGGTGAACCGCCTACCTTTCTTGGTCCACCCCATTAGTTCATACCCATGAAATCTTGTCGAACCTTAAATTATAAGAGAAATATTCAAATTCAGTGAAATTGTATCTAGTCTCCCACACTAATTGTAAGCATTGGCTCCCGTACTATCTTTATTCTCTCCGCACTGCTTGGAGTACAATCTTCGCGCTTTGGTCTTTCTTTGTTATACCAAATACCCATGTGTCGGACGAAGACTGAGCACTATTAGTACGTCTCATATAGTACCATTTTCTTGTGCTACGTCAGTACCTCTCAGTACTGCCAATCTTATTTTAAATATTCAAACGATGGAGATGTTTTTATGAATAAGTTTCATTAATCCAAATGTTCCCGATATTCGTAATGAAGATGGCAATTCCGAAGATCATTCTAGAAGGCTTCAGTGCCAAAAATTTTCTATGATAAAACGCCACGTTTCTATTTCGAAATTTCGCCAATTTTGAGGATTTTGGAGACAAAATATGGTTGTCTCCACACAATAGTTACACCATTTGGTTGTGCTCTGTTTTGACGTGAGTCATAGAAGTTTTTATCGCTTAATGCGGCTTTTGCACTGAAACCGTGAGTATTCTTCACTTCAGGAAAAGAAACACCGTTTTTCAATCATGCCGGTACATTTCAGTTCCACGAATCATCACATTGCATAGGCACCTAGTTACATCACGTCTGAAGAGAATAACCCTTCAGATTTTAGAAGATTGGATTCCACATAATAAGTTGAATTGAAAACCCTCAAATATTCGGAGGTAATGTATCTTTTTTTTTCTTCTTTGAAAATGCTCTTTCTTTCATCTCGAATCGGCATTTTGAATTCACTTTGTCGTTTTATATTCCTAGGGTCCTCGTAATAGGAGAACTAGTCCCATATGTGGATTTATCGCTGAAGATATTTTGATTCACCATCTATCGAAGTCCATTGAAGCCCATAATAGGTTGATAGTATTGGAGATGGTATTGGATGCTGTATGTAGCAAAAAAAAAAGATGCTTGTTAGCAGCTGACACCTGGTAAGAGGATATTTGTCCAATTTTTTTTTTTATCAAGACCGATCACTGGGGAGCCGAACGGAACCAACAACAAAGTTGAGAATAGTTTACATAACACAGGTTTACATAATACAACGCCTTTAGGAGTTGACTCCAAAGTTGAATACCTACTTATATATAAATATTTCTTGTGAACTGCATATAGCTATATGGAGGGGGTTATTTGAATCATACACTTTCTTGTTCTCGTAATTCAGAGACGAAACTCAGTCAGGATTATCGATATATTATAATATACGATTGTTGATATATTATAATGTTCCATAATAATTATTTATTATTACTAAATTATTATTATTAAATTATTGAAATCTGGTATCTATATGTCATTCATCTGCATTATCGTCCCGTTTTGATAAATTTTCTTGGTAACACAGAGTGAGAGTAGAACTGAAACGGGTGGCGCCCTATTATTTTCTATATCTCTAATTTTTTTTGTGCTTATTATGGTTGTGTACCCACACCATCTCTACTGAGCGAACCGGCTATCACTCTGGCCAAGAATTAGGTACCTCATTTGATCTCTCAATTACACTTTCTTCATAAATATTTGAGTAATATATTTAATGCAATTTTATTGAAAAACACCCGTTACAAACTGGCGCCCATTACGTGGTTAAGAATTTAGTTTAAATTATTAGTGTTGGTTCCCCAGTGCATGCTTTTGAATGTTTAAAATTTTCAATTTTCGTAAAACATTCAATACCTTCCAATATCTCATTATAACGACCATCGTCTGTATAAATCAGTAAAAGTTCTTTACGAGCAACTTTTTCACCTTATACAACAATATGCATACTTGTGAGCGAGTATAGATGTTATAAAAATGTGTTTTCTTTGAAGGAAGAAAAGTATACGTATACTTATCATCATCGACGAAAAGCTTACTTTATTTTACGCTTCTAAAAATATTGTTGAATATCGAATATTCAGATAATATTATGAAGCATCGATAAAGGTGTGGAATAAAGAACAAAAGAAAAAGGATATACTTGATCACATATAATTTTTTTTTGCTCCTTTCATTGAACGAAGTTTTTGTCGATGGTTCTGTCCTTCTAGATAAAACATTTATCTCTGATTGATGTAGGTAGATTTTTTTTTGTTTGTTATCATATATGCAGCAGTATATATGTATTGTTGATGTTTACAGGAAGTGCATTATTGCATATTATCTTTTACTAGGTGTCCCGTGATTATGTGATGTTATATATATTTTACAGTTGTTTTACAGGTTTTTCATATGTTGTTTGTCGTATACAGGGTGATTTTATCTTTTTCATAATTATTCGTTGTGCGTTTAAACTAATCACTCCTTGTTAAAAGTTGTCCTTTTTTTTGGGGGAGGGGTGAATTGATTGGCATTATTTAAGCGTTTGATTGTGCATTCTTGATTGATATCTAGATATTGTTGTTTAAAATTAGGCGCTACATAAATTTAGGTAGATTTATAGGTAACCAAATTTCTTGTACGATTCGTAAAGAATTTCGCGATGGATATTTATAGGTTGCGTAGTGACGAGTTAACATGGGAGCTATTAAGTAGGGGTTATGAGTTAGGAAACGGTACGGTGGAGAGAAAACGTGAATTGTTGAAAGAAGCAATTGCTAACGAAAAAATTGGTAAATTTCGTGATAAAACTTTTAATTTTGATCCGGTTCGGGAGCTATCTATTTGTTCGACTAAATTAGAAGAACTTTTAGAAAACATTCATGAATTTAATTTCGAAAATCGAGAAAATGAATATAAGCGCATAAATTCAAGATTACTACACGTACATAGTAGGTTAGAGGCTATTTCTGTGGCAGATGGCTCATTATCGAGAGAAAAGGATAATCTTATGGACTTATGTAAAGATTTAGTGAATAACTTGGAGAGAACTTATCTAACTCCGGACAATTCAGGAGAGGGTAGTATTTCGGAGCCTAACAATCGCTTTTCGAATTCTCAAAGCTTTCCACAAGACCTCGTCGATAATTTAGAGCATGCTTTCATTCCTTCAAATAGTCATAACGAAGCAGGTGTCCCGCAGGCCAGAAATATTCCAACGGCGGTTGGTCTTTCTAGTGGGCCAACTACTCACCATAATACTTCTCGTGTTTCATCATTATTGGAAACTGAGAATCATACAGTATTTCCGAATAATATTCCACCTAGCGGTTATCTCATTGATTTGGGTCAGAATTTAGCCCAGTCTTTACCTCAACAAGTTAATAATATTGATCTGAATGGCGACCAAGCTATTTATCGAGGAGACAACTACCCTCATAGTCCTTTCAATTATAGTCGTGGTCCACCGGGGATCCTTAGACCAGATCAAAATCATATAAGCACTTCAGAGTCAATGAATTGTCCTCCACTAAAACACGTTAACTTCTCTAATAATTTTGGGTCTATGAGAAGTGCTAGCCCGAATCCTTACCACCCTCAACATGATCAAGTTTTCAAATTTGTTGATGTTGGCAAATGGGGGTTGAAGTTCGATGGTAACTCGAGTGTTACGGATTTTCTAGAAAAGCTAGAAGAAATGAGAATATCTCGAAATATTTCCGAGGAACGAATGCTGAGTTCAATTTCGGAATTATTAACCGGGGATGTCTCGGTATGGTATCGATTCATGAAAAATCAGATATTTGATTATAAGCATTTTTGCAAAGTTTTACGGTCCACTTTTCTTCCGCGTAACTATGAAGACAAAATAATGGACATCCTTCGTCATAGAACTCAAGGTGGCAGCGAGTCAGTTGTTATTTACGTGGCTTACATGGAAGGGTTGTACAACAAATTATCTAAGAAACCGGAAGAGATGGCACGGGTTAATTTTATTAAAAGTAGGATGTTACCGCATATTCAACTTGCTCTCGCTGGTAAAATTGTGAACTCTGTACATTCCCTGATAGCCATTGGCCGTGAAATAGAAGAGGCACACGCGAGTGCCCAAGAATATCATGCCCCTCCGATCAATCCTCGAAATTCCGTTGAACCTGGGTTGGAATACCATAAATCCAGCATACGAATTTCACCTATTTCCACTCCTA